TACCTCACCCCTCTAATACCTTCATGCATACACACATGCATATTTAGCTGTAGTCAACTACGTTTAAGCGCCTTTTTAAATTTACAAACGTGAGGCAGCGTGATGGAATCAGGCTCTCGTCAATTTTTGAGCATATAGAGTTATTGGTATCGTCTTAGAGCTTGTTCACTTGTCTTTATTTGGATGAAAAAAGATACATTTATCTTGAATACAAGTCGAGATATTTGCAAAAGAAGAAAGTGGGGGTCACCTGTTTTCAGAGGTGAAATTAGTGAGAAAATGGCCTCCAAAGATTAGATATTTCCTTAGCTTAGGAGTCCGTGGTAACTGAAAAGTTACATTTTTGTGCCTTTAATCAACGCTTTTCAGAAAGATCCACACAGAAATGAGTTGTTTAATGGGCATGAAAGGTGTTGACCAAAAAAACAAAACTTTGATAAAAACTCACACCTGCGGAAAAATGCAAGTTTCTTCACTTGGATTATTTTGACGAGAGCCTGATTCCACCACGCTGCCTCACAAATGCTCCATTTTCTGCGGTACAGGCGGATGGCAGTCAAGCGGTTCATGTCATAGAAACAATGCAATGACCTATCAAGGTACCTACTGGGAACTGATAAACTGTGGGATCAATTGCATAGCAAACCTTACCCCGCCCGATTGTGCTTTGGTTTTTTTTTCAAGTTCTTTGTTCGTTCCTGCTTTAGTTTGTTTGTTTGTTTGTTTGTTTGTTTGTTTGTTCATAAGCAAACTAAAGATCATTCAGTGCAAGAACAAAGCGAGACAAATAACGGGAATGACAGGGAAGAATTGGGACCTCCCAGGGGTCCTCAGACATATAGTGGCGCCCCGCCCAAACCCGACCTCATTCTGTACTTTGAGAAACACGCAAACCTGGAAGTTTTTCACCACGCCTTAACTTTTCGCAACTTTAGAATCACAAAGTCCCATTTCACAATGTTAGCTGTTTCGAATTACTAAGACCATGAAGTTTGAAACCAAATGTTCCATCTGCTCTATCAAAATCGTAAAATCATTCGGAGTCGTTATCAATATAATATTTCTTTTTAAAATTGCATTCGAAAAGGTTTGACACGGTTATGAAACTCAAAACGTTTAACGTCAAATTTCCCAAAACTAGGACTGAGTAGATCCAGCGTTGTAATTCTCGGCTAGCGTTTTGTTTCGTTGATTTCTAGCCGTAGACGTGGTAATTTGTGCCTGACCTGAATCATTATGTAAATGTCTCACAGTTAGGGTAGGAAGCTCTGTGACAGAGTACTGTCGGTCGTGACAAGACAACCGTGCTCTCATGCTGTGTGGAGAGATAACTTAAGTGATAGATCTTTGTTTTTTGGTGTTGTTGTTGTTTAGGGGGGGGGGGCGTTGTTCGTTTTTGAGTGTTTTCGTTTGTATGTCTTTTCGTTTGGTTGTATGTCTGTTTTTGTTTGTTGCAGTGTTTGTCTGTGCGTTTCTTTGGTTTATGTGTCTTCAACCGCAAAGCAGTGCTCTCATGCTGTGTGGTCAAACAGTCGGCAAGAAGAAGCTACTGCTTTGTGGTTGAGAAAACCGAAGCACTTTGAAACGGTAAAGTTAATTTGGTATATTATGCTGTGTAAGTGCAAAAGAGAAAGATAGAAAAAGAAACCCAGAGGGAATTAGAAGAGCTAGGCTCTACTTGAGATACAACATGCTGTTGGACCTTGCGACCCTTTCAGTTGCTGGTCAGTATCGTGTTTAACTTTTGAAATGTAATTCCCTCTTGGCGACTTCTGCAAAATGCAGTCCGCAACAACAACAATAACAACAACAACAACAAGATGAAACGAAAACCACGACTAGAGCAAGAAGAAGAAGAAGAAGAAGAAGAAGAAGAAGAAGAAGAAGAAGGAGAAGAAGAAGAGGAGAAGAAGAAGAAGAAGAAGAAGAAG